ACATTATGTTATGTTACGAATTTATAAGAAAATTCGCTATCTTGTAAATGATTGTCATTATAAGCTAGCTAAATGGTTGTGTGAAAATTATCATATAATATTACTACCCAAATTTCGCACTCAAGGAATGGTCTGACGTGAGCAATGACGTATTAGTTCAAAGACTGCTCGAGTTATGTGTATATGGTCACATTTTCGCTTTTGACAGCATTTGATCCATAAGTCACGTGAGTATTCATGATGTTAAGTCGTAATGTGTACAGAAGAATACACAAGCAAAACTTGCGGATTTTGTGGCTATATTCATAAAAAACTAGGTGGATCCAAAGAATTTTGCTATTCCCAATGTAAAATAAATCTTGATAGAGATATAAATGGTGCTCGTAATATTCTCCTACAATATCTTACAAAAAAGGAAAAGGAGTTAGCTTAGGCTGGCGTGGAAGCCTATTTCTTTACAGGACTTGTTATTGTCTAATTTAAACTTTGCGTAATGTTGGGTTTTTATTAGTAATAATAGGTTTAATGTAGGTGTACCAATGGAGCGAAGAATTTATTATTTTGCTTTAAGTGACGATTTTTTTTTATAAAAAATTATATTTTAAAATTTATTTCATTACAGTTTTTTAAAATTATTTATTTTTAAATATAGGGGGGTATCGAAATTTTTTATTTTTAAAAAATTTATTATTAATTTTTTTAATTTAATATTTCTTTGTTTTTTTCTTTCAATTAAAATAAAAAAAATCTAATCAAATAAATGGGTTTAACTGCCATTTGGCGTTATACTATATCCTTCCTTACCAATACATTATATTCTACATTTTCGAATCTATCATTTTAAATTCTTCATGAAAAAAAATTTTATGAATATTTGATAAAATCAACAATAATTTCTATTAATTGGATTAAAGATTGTATTTGATTAGTACTTGATTAACTTTTTTTTCACTTTATACATATAAAATTTACATTTAGGCTCAGTTTGCGTTTGCTGACTTTTGATAAGTCAATTTTAAAGAAAGTGCCTATATATACTTACGTAATTATTTATGTACTTTGTATGATTAAATTCTTTAATGAAGCATCGAGTTCAAAATCCATCATTACTGCCTTGTGATATACAAGACGAGCATAAATAATGCAAAAAAAAAAATAAATTTCATTAAATTGAAACATTCTTGTAATTTACAGAGATAAATAAATTTATTTATTTTTGTTTTTATTATTAATATTATAATTTTCTAATATTAAAATTAAATATGGAATTATTTCATAATTATATAATTATTCAGGTAATGAATGCTGTTGCATTATTTATTTTCATTTTTAACATAATTCAAATAACATTTAAAACATCCAAAATTAATATATTGGAACTTCCTTCATATTAAAATATACTTTGATACAATTAACACTTTTATATCCTCTTCGAGTCTTGATGATATCATGAATCCTTTCCTTTTTGACATAGACTGAATCAGATTAGTACAAGTTTCAACATCAAATTCTTTCCAGACCTGTTGTATTTTATTCCATAAGTCCTTTTTACTTGAAAAATTGTCTAGGAAAGTGTCTAAGCTGATGGTTAATCTCGTTCCATAAATGTTCAATGAGGTTCAGATCTAGGGATTAAGATGGCAAATCAAGAACTGTTACCTTGTTTTTCTTAAGGTACTATTTTGTTGAATTTGCCGTGTGCTTGTGGATCTTTATAATGTTTGAAAATAATATCTTTAATCATGTGTCCTGATGTGCCCAATAAATCCTCATGAAGAATTTGTTGATATAATTTAGCATTGATTATGCTATCAATTACAGTAACCATCATGCTACGAGATGTAAAACATCCCATTTTTTAATTGTCTCGTCTCTAAATTTTACTGTATTTAATATAGTCTTTTATTAGTTCTCCAGGACACTCCTAGTAATAATGCATATCATCAGAACCAAAAATCTTAAATTTTGATTCATCAGATCATATTACTTTAGAACAGTCTTCAACTGTCAAATTTCACTCTTATTTGCAAATATATCGACATTTTTATGTCTTTTACTAAGGATGGAATTTTTTTTTTTACTCTTGTCTTGTAAAAAATGCATTCCAGAATATTTTATTATTTATCTATAATTGTGTTTAGTATTCCATAAATGTTCAATGCATATCAACAGATTAAGAAAGCAGTTCAGAATTTTTCCATTATATAATTTACATGAAATGAAATTTATATGAATCTAAGATTTAATACTTTACTATTGAAAATATTTTATCGTTAAATTATTAATAAAAAATGAGACAAATACTGAATACATTTAATACTTAATAAAATTTGATAAACAATTATAAATATAAATCTAACGCTAAGTATAGTATTTATAATATAATAAATTATTGCAATCAATACAATGAATAAATGCATTTTTTTTTTTAGGGGGGGTCTGGGGTCTAAGGGGTCTTCTAAACCCCTAGAAAAAAAAATTTTTTTTATTTACAAACTTTTGACGTATAATACCCTTCTAACATAAATTTCCATATTTCTTCTTTCTTAACGTTAATGCTGTTACGATTAATTATTTAAAAATTAGCGAAATTTAACATAATTTTCTCTATTAATGATATAAAATTCATTATTTGACATCTTGAGAAATCCAACTTTTCTATCAATTGTACTAACAGCAATTACTTCAAATGCACCAAAATCTCTGAATTTTAACAGACTATATCCAGAAAATTGGGGATTTCGTATCTATTGTACATATGCTAACATAGATCAGCAACTATCATATTGATGTGAAAAAAAATATTGCACTTCTCCGAAAAATTCCCTTTCTTCTAAAATGATTGATGCATTTGGATAATAAGCATTTTTATCAACCAAAAGCTTCACCTAGAATATTATGTTAAAATGATGAAAATTTTTTTGAATCTGAAAATATTATATATATTTTAATAATATATACATATAGCAATACAATAATTTGTGCGTGCTATATCACTTTTGCGATTTGACAGCTTTGAGCTAATTATTAAGTAATACTTTGTTTGAAGATTTTCATATTTTTGAATGGAATTTGTAATTGACTTAAAATAAATGAAATAATTTATTAGTATATTATTAAATTCTTATAAAATAAGATTAAAGTTACTTACAATAAGCTGATTTGCAGTTCTATTTAATGCTGTTATATAATAAACTTTTAAATATTGCATTTCAGTTTTATTTATACATATTTATGTGATAGTGAATACAATACTTCTTCAGCATTATCAGTAATAAAGATATGATTTTCAGAACAATTTATTGCTTTTTTTAAATTTATTTTGAAAAGTTTTTGATTTATTTCAGAATTATACTAAAGATATAAAAATTAAATTCACATAGTAATCTGATTTTGAAGGTTTGTATAAGGATGCTGCATAGATCGTATCAGAGATAATAATATTACACATAACCTTTCTATTAGATACTATCAGGTTACCTATACAGGATCAATTATTATGTATTGAATCAGCAACATGTAATAGATAATGAAATAAAATAAGTGCAGCTGAAAGCTGTATAAAATTATTTGAAGATATTCTCTATTAAATATATACATTTAACATATTAAAAAAATTGTTATATTATTAATATATAAAACATAAAACATACTTTTCATAATATGTGATAAATTTATAAAAAAAGATTGCCAATTTCTGTCAATTTAGCTGTACTGATATTTCATTTCAAACAAAGCTTTATTGCATATACAAATCTTATCCATTCATTTAATTGCCTATATAAATTAGAAAACTTTGTATATCAGCAAAAAAAAAAAATTTATTTAATATTTAATAATATTACCTTTCTAAAAGATGATCTTGTAAAAGTAAAATTAAGTATAATATAATCCAATTTACCCAATCTTCTACCTTAAATGCAGCAGAATATTGCTGATTATTAATAGGTAAATGACTAAAATCAAGTGATATATTCTTTCTATTTTTTCCAATTATTATTAGAAATGATATAATTAGAACTAGAATCTTGATTATTTTTAAAAAATGTACCAGACCAATGCTGAAGTATTGCTGATGCTATATTTTCAAACAACCCATATATTATATCAATGGAAAATGATATAAGAAACTCAATTGATTTAAGTTTAAATAAGATACTTTAGCTATTTAATCCTATAATAAAATAGAAATAATTGAGAATTTAAGATTTTTATTAAATGTTATTAATTAATAAATATATCTTATTCTCTTATACATTCTACAACTAGAGCATCATATATATAATCTTCATGTGTTTTTAATAGAAGATTATTAGGATCATATTGACATCCTGATGTATTAGTTAGAGGTTTAAGTAGAAAATATATATATTAATTTTTTTAGTAATATATTTCATGAATATAGCAAAAATGACATGCCTTATATAAATTATAACCTGTTATATACATAACTTTAGAAAGTGTTAAAATATCACCTGATATACTTAAAATATGTGCATGAAGGGTAAATATATTTTCTGTTAAACTATCAATACATTGAATACCTTCTATATTAATTATAATAATAATAGTTAGTATATTATAAATACATTATATAAAATATATTGCAAAATAATATATATAATTAATACCCTGCAGTTGCTTTAATTTATCAACTAATAGTTTTAAAAATAAATTAAAGTTTATGGTACCTTTGGTCTTGAAATGAGTGTAAAAATCATTAAATTTTATCGTTTAATATGTATATCAGGTAGTAAGTTAAGTATAACCTAACAATCATCTCAGTTTTGATAAAATATTTGATATCTATCAGTAGATGCCATTAGAGCTATATCTCAACAGTTTGAAAAAAGATCAGAAAAACTAAGGTCTTATATTAAAGATCATTAAATATATCATTTATTTGATTACTAAGTCTATATTCATATGTTGAAGTATAATTATATCTATAATGAAGAATTTCTGCACAAGTTTTATCTTTATATTGAATTTAAATGAATCTACAAGTGACTAATAAGCAGCTTTTTTTGAGGTATTTGAGGTATTATATTAGGTTTATAACATGATTCTTTACATTCTGAATAGAATTTCTTATTAGTATATTCATTAGTAAATGTTATATACGAATTTGTATAATAATTTACAAATGTTGATTTTAATGAGAATTTTTGAAGTTTATAAAGAGAAACATCAGAAATTTCTAAAACTTTAAGAATTTTATTAAATGCTATTTCTAAGATATTATATTTCTTTTTGATTTGAAGAAGTTGTAAATCTTTAATCAAATTTTCTAAAATAATTTTAAATAATATAAATATAATACAAAATTTTGAATTCGTAAATATTTAAATTATAGCTTACAGAATTTATACTTTCAAAATCAAAACTATTATTGTTATCATCACTATTATTTTCGTAATTATCATTATCTTTTTCTATATTTTTTTCATCATATAAATAATAAATATTATTTTTTTCATCTTTTTTATTATTATTATCTTCCTCTTCATTTTCTAATATTTCAAATAAATCATCATCATCATTAAATATATTTTTGAATGTCTCAATTTCTTTATTTATATTATATTTATTACTATGATCTTGATGTTAAAAATATTAGTAGGTGGTAATAGTAATAGAGGTATAGTTAATGCAGTTGTTATTGTAGAACTTGATAATACTTGAGAAATAGACATGATTAAATATCTTTATAAAGTAGGAATGTTTGCTAAATTAGCTCAAGTATTTTTTGCTTTATTATACAGGGGGGTGAAATAAATATTGAATAATTTTTATTTGATGTTTATTTATATTTATTTGCTATAGTAAATTCGTATAATAT